TGGAAATCAAAATGTGTCCTGAGAGTGGCTGAAGAGGGCTAAACCCAGAGACTCCTGCAGAGTGAATGGAATTAAAAAGAAAAGGGATAAAATGATTTGGGATGAAACTGAAGCGAGGGAATACTGGAAGGAGTATTTTAGAGATCTGTATGAGATATGAATGAGGGTCATAGGTCAATCAGTGGAATCGAAATGAATGTTCAAAATGTTAATGTCCAAGAAGGAATTGATGATATAAATGCTGGGAGAATGTTGAAAGATTGTAAGGCTGCAGGTGTACAGGGCATTCAGAAGTGATGTTAAAATACGGGTGTACTGTGCTTATGAAGTATCTCTGTGAGTTGCGTGGTGTGTGAGAAGACTGCATCTGTGCCTAACGATTGTAAGAATGTCATTATTGTTCCCCATGACAAAAGGAATAACAGCAAGAGTGACTACAAAAACGACAAGGGGGTTCATTTCTTAAGGGTTGCTGGCTGGGGAATTCTGGGAGTTGAAGTCCCCACAGTTGCCAAGCTGGAAAAACACTGTTCCAGTCCAACTCTCTGCCCAGAGCAGGAATCCTCAGAACATTGCAGCCCCATGGCTATCCAAACTTTACTTGAAAACCTCCAGGGATGGAGCATCCATGACACCAGGAGGAAGGCTGTTCCACTCCTTAATAGCCCTCACAGTCAGGAAAATCCTCTGTATTTCAAGTTTGGATCTTCTACCTATTGGTTCTTGTCCTGCATCATGGGGCATATGTATATAAATTTGAAAAAAACATGAAAAAAAAATCCTCTTCCCTGTGACAGCCTGTGACAGGCTGTCATTCAAGTCCTGGAAGGCTGCTATCATATCTCTTTTAGCCTCCTCTTCTTTAGGGTAAACATACCTAGTTCCTTTAATCATTCTTCTTAGGATTTAACCTAAAGGCCCCTCACCATCTCTGTTGCTCTTCTCTGCATTCTTTCCAATTGTTCAGCATCTGCCTTATTATGGTAATCAAAACAGAGTAGTATAGAGCAGAACTATCACTTCTCATGATCTCGACATTACATTGTTTTTGATGCAGACCGAGCTTGCATCAGTTCTTTTCACAGCTGCAGCACCCTGCTGGCTCTTGCCTAATCTGTGGTCTCCCAGGATGTCCAGATTCTTCTCACAAGTATCATTGCAAGACAGGTACCACCTATCCTGTACCTGCATTTCCTACCTGAGTGCAGAATCTTACATTTCACATCATTGAACTGCATTTTGTTGGATAGAGCCCATTGCTCAAGTCTATCAAGATCTTCTTGAATTGTGAGCCTGTCTTCTGAGGTGTTGACAGCCTCCTCCAGCACTGTGTCATTTGACAGAATACTAACTGAAGGGGTATGAGAAGACAACAATCAACATTTGGGAAATACAATGTGTCTTCCTGCTGGGCAGAGGGTGTGTAGACCAGATGTTGCACTTCGACAGGTCATTGAGGAATGTACGGATGTGAGAAACTGTTGATTTAGAGAATGTGTATATAAAGTGAATAGGCTTGAATTATGGAATATTTTACACAAAGCTGAAATTTGGTTCTGAAGGTGAAATTTGATTGCACGTTGGAAGAAAACACGCCAGAGAATAAATGGAATGCTTGGTGAGTGGTTCAGAATTAAACACAGAGTAAGGTTCTTTAATGTATTTATGAATAAATGTATAAGGAATGTTTGCAATGATGTGAGAGGTGTGTTAGTTGGATATGTAAATCTACATGTAGATTTGTATTCAGATGATGCCATATTGCTGGCTGAGAATGTGAATGATTTGCAGCAAATGATAGATTATATTTGTAATGAGAAATATGGATCTGAAAATGAATATATCAAAAGAAAAGGTAGATGTGTTTGACAAGGAAAACAGACTGAAGATTGCAAGTTGAATGGTTGGAGAGGAATAGGAAAATCAAGAATGTTGTGGTTGGATGGAGTAGTTGATGACCTCCACAAAAGGAGTGAAATGGAAAGTTTAAAGAACAAAATGCAATGGATTAAGTGGTGTATGGACAGTGGAAGTAAGGATGGCTTACAAGGATAGGAAGATATGAAGAAGTATACTGAAGGTGGTGGTGTGAAGTACATTGTATTAGATTTTTTGTCCTTTTTCTTATGCCTCTAATTCCCTTTGCTTTTTATTTCTCACTCCTTTTTTGTGCTTTGCATAAGATTGCTTATTTGAAAGGAGGGTCATGGGTATATATGTATTGCATGCAACAAAATCAAATGAAGTTAGGTTTTTCCCCTGAATTACAACTTCGATATGCAAAAAGAGAAGGGCGACAAGTCTGAATTCCCCTGACTTAATGTGAGATGATAATGATTTATTCATTTATTTACTTATTTATTACACTGATCCATCAGGCACTTAGCAGCCTACACAGATAAAACCACCAGAATATAATATTCCTCAGATAGCATCCATAAATGATGCTGTTCATCATCAGAACTTTTTGTCACCAAATGGTGTATAGAAGGAAAGTGTTTCCACAGCTCTCCTGAAGACAGATGGGGGTTAAGTTTGGGGACAAGTCATTCCATAGTGAGGCGGCTTCCAGAAAAAAGATCATCCTCCAAATCTCTGTACCCCTAATTTCCCAGAAGATAGGTGCTCATAACATCCCCTTCCAGCTGGACCACTTAGGGCAAACAGATTCCAAATTCCACCTGAAGAAGATGGTCCCAGAAACAGCAAGAGAAGAGTCCAAGTCATAGAGTGTTCATCCCCATCCAGTCCCTCACAGCCTCAAGATACTGGGTCAGGACATCTACTAGATCTCCTGCTTGCCTTGGGATAGAGATGTAAAGTTGGGTATCATCAGCATGAAAAGGACATGTCATGGAAAGGACAAAGCAGAATTTTCATTCCTGAGCTGCTTTCTGCTTTGGTTTTGTTTTTATTTTGAATTCCCTCTGATGTAGAAGTTGTTAGAAAAGGCTCCAGTAACTTTCCATGTATCAACTGGCTTTAAATAAGGGAGTTTTATTTTTTCTTTACTGGGGTTCTTCTTCCTCCTCTTCCAGTTTGCAAATAACATGAATAAACATTCATCTGCAGGGATTATATACTGATGTAAGTGTTCTTAATAAATCAAATTGCTACTTCAGTGATGGTGCAACACTTCCTTTTGGATTATGGCCAATTTTTTTTTTTTAATCTCACTTATTATAATGGCAACTTGGTGAACAATTGGGATAGGTGGATTTTGCCACAATTAGATGGTCAAGAGATGGGTTCTCATCCCCTCTGCCTTGCATACAGACATCTCATGCCATGTCAGAAGTCCTTCTGTGGTGTGCTCCGCCCATGAAGCTTATTCTCAGGATGTGTCCACATGCTTTATGTTCTAGGATTGATAATCATTCCAAGAATGCTGTTTTGTAATATACTTCTGCAATTCCAACAGCACATGACATGAGCAAAAACAGCTCCTCAATTACAGTGAGCTGAGAAGACAGCCAAATGAGCATATGACAAATCAGATGCCCTGGGCAATCCGATCATCTGGGAAGCATGTGTGCATATGTTAGAAGCATCGGATTCTCTGAGTGAAAATGAAGAGTGAAGGTTACATTGTGAAAGAGGGGCTAATTGGCTCTTAAATAGGGATAGCCTGATCAGTCATACTTTGGGACATGTGCAATTCACATGTGTCTGTTACAAGCATTGTTCCATACCTTGCAGAGTTTTGGTCAGTTTTTTACAAAAGAGTATGACTTCTCTTTAAGAAGGGAAAGGTTTAAGGTTTTAAAAATGAACTTAGTCCTTCTCAAGTGAATTGAGGACTGACTTTAAACCTCTTGACGTTCTATTTAACAAGTTCTAGGAGGGACCTGCTGTCCTGCTTGCATGATATGAATGGTCCAGTAATTTCTTCTCCCAGACATTTAATTTGCCTTTTCATGTTCTCAGCATGTGATACAAAGATGGTTGGACTTGTCATATTTTTGCCTTTTTTTTTAGAGTTCGCCCAGCTGGCAGAAAACAGGTTGGGAGACTTTCATTTCTTGCCATGCTCCCTTCCCTTCCCTTCCCTTCCCTTCCCTTCCCTTCCCTTCCCTTCCCTTCCCCACTTTTTCTTTTTTCCCCCCTTGGTTGCAAGAGCAAAACATGGAACAGCAAAGATGACTATGTATGGAAAAGAAGAGAGCAACCATCAAGTTCAAGGGAGAAATGGTAGAACATCTGCCCTCTCCTCTCAGGGCTTTTGAAGACCTCTTTGTTAGAAACCTGGCAACAACTCTGCTGTCCAGCTGTTCCCCAGAAACTAAAATGCATTTTAAAAAATGGATATATAGTCCTCTGAACTGCCTCATATAATTCAGGAGGGTTGCAGATTCAGAGGTTTCAGTCTGTAACTTATTCAAAGGCAGCAACTCAAGTGAGATATCCTGAATTCTAAAGTATCCCTAGTCTAAATTTTTCATTTAATGTTTACCACATCAGTCCTCAATCTCCTCCATTTGCTTAGACATAAATGCATTCATTTTGGATATACACATCTCACTTAACTTCAACAACTTAGATATTTCTTATATGTTAAAATCAACAGTTTTTATTATGAATTATACTTGGCATATTGTCCATGCTAGTTCATCAGTACTGATGCCATAGTAGGCTGCCCTTGCAAGCACAACTCAAAATAATAGTTTTTAAAAACATTGCCTGTGGTCATAGCCCTTCATAAATATGGAGCATCTCCTCTCCCCTAATACAGGTGCCTTTCTTTTCAGATCTATTCCATTAGCAGTGCTCTACAGAGGCCAGACTTCCCATGTTTTGTTTCCAGATTCTAATATTCTGCCCAGAGAAATTTTTCAAGCAACCATTCCCCCACCCAGCTTCAACCAAAAGGTAAAGAATTTTGTATGTTTAAAAGATGTCCCTGACAACAGATGATTTATGAACAAGTTGTTGTTGGTGTTTTACTATTGCTAGCAATGGGAAGATCTGAGTTTTGTAAAGTTATAACCAAAGCAACATACCTTCATCACCATCATCTCCAAATGGATAGAAGAGGGCTACCGCTAGATTGATGAAAACGGCCAGATTGAAAGATATACTTCCCCAGAGGGAAATTTGTCGGGAGAACCAAAATAATGCTGGATTATCTAGGAAGGAAATGAAGAATATCTCAACAAGAATTACTGTTCATGAGAAAGCAATAGCTTCTGGGGAAAAGCTGATGTAACATTTACTCTGATCTGTTGTTGGGTATAATCTGATAGACTTCTGTAGTCTTCAGGACATCACCTCCAAAGGAGCCAGAATTGGTAAATTGTCTCTCCTTTGCTGATCATATCATATCTGGCTTTCAAAATAAATGTTGCATTTCTGGCACCTCATTGAACCATAAAGCATTTCTAAAACACTTTTTGTTGTTGACTAAGGAATCTGTGCAGAAACTGTGTAAAGCAGGTCATTATTATTTTTATTTCCAAATTATAAATAAGGGTAAAAATACATGATAATGATTGCTTAAAATCACACAGAAATCTCCCAATCCTGAAATTCTTTGGGAAAATGAGGCATCCTCAAGTGATTTGGGAATTAAGGATGAAGAAGCCATCCTTTAATGTTACATATAGACTATTGAACATACAGAGGGTTTCTGAAAGTACCGTGTTTTCTGCCATTTATGGAAATAAATAGGCTTATTGTCTTATGGGTAAAAAACATCTGCGATAAAATCTGTTTGGCTAACTCTTAACTGAATGTAATTAGAGATAGCTCAAACTGAATAGACATCTCACATGACCAAAAACGAGAGGATTTTGACTTCTGTGTTTAAAAGCCTTTGAAATCATTTCACGTGTTAGTCTCAAGGTAGCTCAGAAACTTCTCCATTCTTTCAGAGACTATCAAGGAACAGACTGCCTTACACAGGTTTTAGAGAACAGATTACCTAATGCTCTATTATTTGGAGGAATTAGTGGACTAGCAAGTCACAGATCCAGAAGCTATACAGGTCGGGGTGTAAAATGTATTTAACTTATTAGCCTCCTCTGGACTAGGCAATTTCCCACCAAATTTGGGCGACACAATCTTGTAATACTTGGGAGGCCACAGAAGCAAGTCTGTGGTCTCATAGCACCACAAGCCATGGGCTATGGGAACCCAACCAATGCTGCCATAGAGCAACATGTATACTACATTATAGAGGCCTGTGTCCTGCTCAAGATAGGAGGTAAGACTTAGTTTGGCCTATATAGCATTTTACATTTTGAGATAAATATGTTTTAAAGGAGTTTATCTCCCAGAATCAGCCTCCTTAGAGTCTCCATTTATCTAATTATACTCTGTTTCTGATACCATCAAAATATGAAATATACGCAGTTCCTATTAGAAACGGACAGTTTACATCAGCCACCCTAGGAATTCAGAATCATCTCCCAGAAGAACCAGGAAAATCTTCTGCTTTGCTATTTTAAAAAGAGGTGATGAAATGTTAGTGTTTCCTCTTTTTAGCTATCTTCTTCCCATAGTTGAGGATGTTTTTAGGAAGAATTGTTTGTGGCTGATTTTTAAAAAGTTTTTAAAGTTAAGTAGTAAGCACCATACACTTCTTTGGCTTATTAGTATGTAGTAGTCTTAAACAAACAGCAATAACTTTGTCCTTCTCCCCATTTTAACAAATCTCACAGGAAGGATCAGTTAACTTTCCAATCTTAAAACTGATTTATCTGGCCTTTTTGCTGCCTTTTTTTTTTTTCCCCAGCTTCTTCTTAACAATTGACTGTATTGAACTGAAAATCTGAAAATGGTTGTAAAGACCTCACTGCCATAATTTAAGCCACTGAAATACATCTGAGATGTATTTGCCCACAGGAAATGCAAAAATGGGCATGGAAAAGAAATAAAATAAAAGGCCTTCCACACGTCCAGTCCCTGAAATAGCCTCAATCGTATAACTTCATATGTCACACTGATATTACATGGTCCAAAATGTTCTTAAAAAAAATCCAGAGGGAGGCTGGAGATCATCCATCTCTAAATATTCTCAGTATCTACTCTAAATCTTGGTGGAGACAGAAAATCAAGGACAGAATGTTGAGTTTTGAGAAAGATCTCCAAAGAAAGGTCTTCACACAGATAAGCATAGGAACTATAGGTGGGAGGAGATTGAAATAATAAGACATTCTTTTCTGACCTCATTGCTGTTTCAATAGTTACCAGGTTTAGCAAGTCCAAGTCTGAGATTACTTCATCAGTGTGTTATCTTGTTTTGTATCTATACTATATGAATAAAGCAGAACTTTCATAAAGCAGAACGTTTACAATCAAACTTTCCCCAGGGACCTGACTTTAGAGTCTTCCTAACAGCCATCAAGCAGACAAATTCTTATAAGCACTGTACTTACTCCTAATTTTCTTTTGCCACTTCATTTCATTATATAGATCCTCAGTCTGTTGAAAAAAGTCATTTACTTTGCTTCCTTGCTCATCTCTTTCTGTAGTATTGAACACCCGGCACTTTGATTCATGTGTGAGGAATCCGCAAATATTTGGCACAGGAAATACTATTTGTTCCATAGTTCTATCATGGCGGACTATCTGCAAAGACACATTTCTCCCTCAGAGACATATAAGGTTTAAATGTCAACATAAATTACCGTTTTGTGCTTATGTGGGACAAAGCAAAGGGCGAGGAAGATTATAGATTCTGCTCAATTTGATCCAGGTTCCAGACATGTTAGGACAATGTAATTGGGCACAGTTTCAGTCTGTCTACTGAGGGATGGGATATTGGATGATAGCGGATTGTTTTCCCTTAAGTGTTCAATGTCAAATTGGCAAATGTTCAATTTCAGTTAATGTAAGTCTGGGAGAATACTAGAGATTTTGCCATTCAAACTCCCATGCAGATCCAAGGGTTGTTTTCAAAGGTTTTCGAGAACATTATTTTTCAAGAGAAAGAAAAAAATACAAATATCTGTAATTAAAGAAGAACACAACAGTAAAAAAAAAAAAGAATGACATGAAAAGCAGGTAGAGCTTATTCATTTAAGAATGTGCATGTCGCCTTTCCAAACAAGCACATAAAAAGTTAAAACTAAGAAGCATACCATAAAACAAATCCTCATGCAAATTAGTACACTTTAAAAAAAGATGCACTCGTAGTAAAAAAATCAATCAACTAAAACTCTAAATTAAAAAGGCCAGTAGATGACAGAAATTAAAATTGTATTAGAAAACCATAGAAACATATAGTTGGAAGAGTTCATTGACACCACCAAATCCAACTCATGTTTAGCAAAAGAATCCAAATTAAGAGATTTAGATTAGATTAGATTAGATTAGATTAGATTAGATTAGATTAGATTAGATTAGATTATGGCTATCTAGCTGTGGCTTGTACACATCCGATGCAAGGGAATTCACCATCTCTTCAGAAACTGGTTCTACTGTTGAAGTATTTATTTCATTTATAACATTTATATAGTGCTTTGGTCTGGATGTTAGGAAGTTTCTTCTAACATTCCATTGGAATCTTCCTTCCTGTAACTAAAGCCCATTATCCCACATCTTATATCCTAGAAAGAAGTAGAACAGGTCTTGACTTTCTTCCATGTGACATCCTTAGAGGTCTTTGAAGAGGGCTATCAGATCCCATGGGTTGTCTTTTATCAAGATTAAACAACTGCAGTCCCTTCAACCTCCCTTCACAGAACTTCATTTCTATGAAATGAATGTTGATGAAATGAACGTTGGAAAGAGAAATGTATGGCTCCAATTACTCAATGAATTTAAGACTTGATGTAATTTGCAACTTATGTTCCTTACAAGATATAAATTAAGTATGGACAACAACAACGGAATACCTTCATCTTTTACTGAAACTGTAGAAAAATAACATTTGATGTGTAGACATGTATTTATATATAAATTTTGGTGCTGTTTTGCTTTTTTGCTTTTTTCCCTTCTTTTCTTTAGTTTTTTGTTTGTTTGTGTCATTTCTTTTTGTTCAGTTTTATTAAATATAGACATATATAGGAGCAGCTGCATAGTGTAGTGGTTAGAGAGCTGCCCTTTGACACAGGAGACTGGGGTTCGAATCCCAGCTGGTACCTACCTTACCAGTAGTAGGGGTCCTTGGGCAAAGACTCCCTAACGCTTTACCTGCCTACCTCGGATATGAGAGTGATACAAACTAAGTCACTCATGCCGGCCCAGACATTGCCCAGATTAACAAGGTCCACACCAGATGTTGGGGAACCAAGACAATCTGACAATAAGTGAGCTACTGGAAGAAACCATACATGGACAAGAAAAGAGAACCTGGAATTGATGGAATGCTACTACCACAGTAGATCTAATGACAGGTGATATATGAATGTGATGCAGTGAAGAAAGCAGTAACATTAGGATGTAGGACATATTAAACTTTCCAAATTTTTAGGGAATAAAAATTATTTATGACTAAAATGGTGAGCAAACATTGTTGAACCATTCTTTGATTAAAATTTGGTAGGAAAATTGAGGATCTCATAAAACATATACATTGGCCTAATCCGCAGTTTGCTACCTGGACATTCCCAATGACAATTTTATCTTACAAAGCAACAGAAAGGAAGATTCCATCATGAATCCTCACCATTATTTCAACCAGTTTCATACTTCAAATAAAAATCAGTAGAAGGAGTCCTGTATGAGGTAGAAAGTAGCATTGAAGCCTACAAATATTTTTAGCAATTACCTCAATTTGAGCGGTGTGGTTAGCATAATACTTCAAAGCTTCATCTCCTTCTTCAGGATCTACCCCAGGCTTCAGCATGTGTTGTAATGTTTTATTGTGACGGGCCAGCTAGAAGCAAAAAGGAGGAAAAAATTGGTTATAAGTGGCATCTGATAGCTTGTAAATAAAAGACAAAAGAAATAGCCAGATGTTCTTCAGTTCCATTGAATAAAACATCCAAGTGAATACAATGGGAATCACTTAACCTTCTTCTGATTATTTACTAAAACGCATGACTTGTAATCTGCAGCGTTAGAAGCCTTTTTTTTCAAGCTTGTATCCTGTGTTCAAAATCCACTAGGAAGTCGATTATTTTTCTCATCAGGTTTCAGGGCTGACCTAGTATGCAAGTGGTATTGATCATACTTGTCAATGACCTCTGGCCTAACTAGGATAGGCATGGTGCAACTGTCCTGATTCTCCTGGATTTCTCAATGGCTTTTGATATCATTGATCATGGTATCCTTCTGAACCAACTGTGGTGGTTCTCCTCCTTTCTCCATGGATGGTTCCAGCTGGTGTTGATGGGGGGAGAGGTCAAGCACAAAGCCCCTAGTTTCTGGGGCACCGCAGGGCCTTACACTCTTGCCTCTTTTGTTTAACATCTACAGAAAGCCACTAGGTGAGGTCATCCATCCATCATATGGGGATCAGGTATCATTAATATGCTGTGATATTCAGCTGTACATCTCAACCCCGGGATGCCAAAGTGATGCTATTAAGGTCTTGACCCAGTGCCTGGAGGCTGTTGTGTTCTGCATGGGGAAGAATAACTTAAGCTCAATCCTCGTAAGACTCTGTAGCCAAAGTTTATGGTTTTTCTGGTGCCATTAATTTCCCATCTTTAGTTCTGAATGGGACTGCAGTTCCCTAGACAGAAGTGTTGCACAGTTTGGGATTCTCCTGGATGTACTGCTCTGGCTTCAAGAACTGGTGGCAACCGTGGCCAGGAAAGCCTTTGCTCAAATTCATCTGGCGTGCCAACTGCACCCTTTCCTGCACCAGGAGTCCCTCCTCACAGTTACTCATTTCTTGGGTCACCTCACATGTGGACTATTGCACTGCATTCTATATGAGACTGCTCTAAAAGGCCACTCAGAAGCTACAAGTGATCCAGAACATAACACTGTGGCATGCCCATGTAACACCTCTGCTATGCAAGCTGCACTGGTTACCAGTGAGTTTCTGGGTGCAATTCAAAGTGCTGGTTCATGGCATAGGATCTGGCTATCAGAGGGACCCCCTTGCTCCTATTGTTTCTGTCAGTCCTGTGAGATCTGACATGGATCCACAACCTATCTATTAAACAATGCATCTGATGGGACCCAGCAGCCATACCTTCTCTGTTGCAGTGCCTGCTCTCTGAAATAGTGTCCTTCCAGAGGTTAGAACAGCCCTGACCCTGCTATCCTATGGGAAATGAGCCTTGAAGACCCACCTTTTTCCCCAGGAGCTGGGTTAGGTTGGTGGGGGACAGTCCACCTAGACTGGATTATGTTTAGTATGCTTGTTGTATATCTGTTCTCCTACCTATGGACAACTATTATGATTATTATGATGATGATTTTATTGATTCAATCTATTGGGTTTATTTTTTTAATCTGAACACCACTCAGAGCCAAAAGTTTATAAATCTAAATTATAAACAAATAAAACAAGAAAATAATCCCAACTTAAAATTCTAATGCTTTCCAGATCACCTAGACTAGAAAAAAAAATATAACACACTTTTAAAAAATTCTTGGGTGGATTCCCTTTAATACAACAATACAAGCTTGGCCTTTGGATCAAGACCTCATCTTATCTAGCATTTTTTGATGTGGCAGAGGGCATTCCATCTAGTATCAACAATTTTCAACAACGAGACTGGTTTATTATGTTCTGTGTCTCTTGGAACACACTCGGTTGATTCACTGCTGTGTAAGGTGACATTGGGTGAGGCTACTTCAAAAAGCAGAATTCATAAAAATGGAATAGTTCACTTATTGCTTTCCAATAGCCCCTCTGGTTGATTGTAACTTCATTTCCAAGCAAAAAAAAAAAAAAAAAACAGCTTGGAAACTTAGTCTGAAAAGTGAAACTTCTGTTTTGTTTCAGTTACAAGTAGCTTCCCAGTAAAAAAAGAAAATATAAAGGTTGTAATTAATTCCTCTTTCAGCTTTTCCTGTTGTATCAAAACCATATGGCACAAATTCTTCTAAACCAGTCCCAGGGATCTCTATGGGGTTTGAAAGGAAGAACACGAGGGAACTAAGTTCAATCTCTCTCCATCTAAACCAGTTAAATCTACTACGTAGATATAGGTATAAAGATACAAATGGAGAACCTTGAAATCAGTCTTGACTCCTGCCAATTACCTGGACAAGTCCATGCAGCTTTCTTGGCAATGTTTTCAGAAGTAGTTTGCCCTTGCCTTCGAGGAAGCTTGGATGGAGGGAGAGAGACCGGCCCAAGGTCACCCACCTGGCTTTGTGCCTAAGGCAGGACTAGAACTCACCATCTCTTCATTTCTAATCTGATTCCTTTCATCTCTACACCAAACTCGCTCTCATACTGAATATCAATGGAGTATTTCTAGAGCTAATCTTGTTCCTGGAATCTGAATACTAACTCTGTTTATTTTGGTAGGGACTTTCTTTTATTAAGAAAAAAATATTGAGAAGACTGTGCCCTACTCATGGAAGAGGTCTATGCAAAATATAGACCATATTTGAAATGATCAATATTTTCACTCAAGGATGGAAAAGCAGTTAAAATATAATGCCAAGAGGTTATTCAGTGTTTGGGGTTTTCCCTACACACTTCACCTCTTGATTTCATTGGAGAGAGAAAGACTTTAATGTTGGATGCAGTGACAAGAGAAGGGGTGTTCAAATGAAGAGCTCTTAAAATAGTGCTACATAGAGGCAACAATTTATATTGCTTGTGTTCATTGGAAAACAGTTTCTTTATCCTAAGCTTTTATTATATTATTTGTATTGCTATTAAACCTTATTACTTCCTTCGAAGTCATAAAATGAAGACTAAGAGTTTTCTGACCATTAGGGAGATGTCATTCTCCAAAGGAGTACTTTAATCAAAATACTTCTTGATAATAATATCACAGATTGGAGGAGCCACACTGCGGCCTTATTAACCTGAATTTCTCAGGTAACCAGAGGAATATATGCAAACAGAGTTACCTAAAACTATTCTTTTTCTTTAGGAAGGTTGATTCCAAGAGGTTATGTGGATAAAACAAGAAATGTGCTTCCTGTATATATGATCCCCTCAATGGCTATTAACAATTAAATGGACGTTCCATACTCAGAGGTAATATTGCTCTGAATAACAGCTGCTGGAACAAGTTAAAAGAGAAAGCTTTTGCTTTCAAGCCGTGCTGTGCTATTTAAAATATCTATCTCTCTATCTATGTGTTTGACTTTGGTCCAAATCAGCCTAACTCATATATTCTTATAGAAGAGAATATATGTAGCTCAGGGTTGAACTGTGGAATCCTTGGTGCTCTCTGAACTTGGCTGTCTGTTTGCAGATGTTTCATTACCCAACTAGGTAACATCATCAGGGCCAGTGAGTGTGGGGTTTGCTCCCTGTTAATATGCAATAGCTTACCCTGCCAGTGTTAGTGGGGATGTGGTTTTCTCCTATGTAGGACAGACAGGCAGAAGACTAGCAGAGCACATCCATGAACCCCAACTAGCAGTCAGAAGACACAATAAAAACTCCTTAATCTCACAACACATTGACAGATTCAACCACAGTTTCAACCAACATAGCATTCTAGACCAAGTTAAATCCAAAAATGCTAGGGAATTCCTGGAAGCTTGGCATTCAGACAAATCAGCCATCAATAGACACATACAAATAAAATATATTTACACACCATTCAAAAGAGACAACAAAAAGCTAAGAAGGAAACAAAAAGAACAGAACACATCCCCTCCAACAGCCAACACCCAGATAAGCAGGGATTAAGACCAGACAAACAACTGAGCAGAAAACAGTATTAGTAGCACTGATCATAAATTCTTATTTTCCTGACTTAATGCAGATTCCCTTGTTGCTGTGGTGGCTGCAAAAATTAACCGAATCCAATGAATCAGGATTCATTGTGCAGTAGATTAAAAAAAAAAAAAGCACATACCCAAAATCATTTTTTTTTTAAATACAGCTAGTCATGAAAACAGCACATGATGGAAATATCTAACATCTACAGCATCACATACTTTCAACACCTAAAAACAATGCAGGATTACTGCTGGATTGCTATGGACTTATGAAGGATGTCCCTCACTTTGACGTGAAACCAGCAGTGGATTAGAATGATTTGGAAAGGTATTTTACTCATCTGAGTTGGGACAGTAACTCTGCTTCCCTTTCAAAATCCTCAGTGGAATCGCACCTTTAATATGGAGTTCAGATCATGGGTAGAAAGGGAACCAGACAAAATGACACAGCTGCTGGCATTTGTTTATGTGGTGAAGTGAAAGTGAGCAGATTCAAAACTCAAGAAGTCACTTCCTCAAATCAGAGTGACCCTATTATTACCTTTTGAATGGGTGGAAGTGTCGCAGAGAGATTGTGGGGGGTAGGGGTACAGGAAGGTGGACAGAGACTGAAGATACATTGTGCACAATATAATTGCTGTTGTTTCAGTCTCACCTCATTGTTGCACAGACTTTCTTTGGAATGGTTTGGTGGCCAGAGATTTAGTTGTATTACATCACCCAAACTTTGCTGCATCAATGTACCAGCAATGAAGAAAAGCTAATCCCAGAGTGATGGCTGAGTGATACCCATAGAGGTTATAAATCACTAGTGAGGAAATCATCTCTATGTGACACTGGCAAATGAGAAACCTAGTTGATTTATTCCATGCGTCATCCTTATTATTTCCATTCTCAGTTGATCCTTTCTTTCTTGATCCTCTTTAATCCAGTTTTCCATTCTTTTCATTCCTCTCTTATTCCATTTCATAGTCTATTCCAAATACTGTCATTATTTCATTCCTGAATTCTAGAGTGATGGAAATAACAATTGGCCTTCTTCTTGTGACAGTCAGAGTCCAG